TTATCAGTTATCAGCTGCTGGTAAAACTATCGATAGCTCTGATTTCAAGAAGTGTTTGACGCATGCTAAAGCTGGAACAAGTCAAAATCGAAAATCCCTCCGCATACGTTCTTTTTGTGAGGGGAAGCACTTGAGAAGTAGTCCAAGTGACAGCAAACGCCAACAGCAACCATACTTCGGCAAGGCTCTCTTTCGAGGGATGCTTACACCGATGGCGAGTTGGCGAGTTGATCGATGGCGAGTTTGATCCTTTACCAATAAACATCGGTGGCGAGTTTGATCCTCTGGGATATGCTATTACCAATAGGCACCGATGGCGAGTTTGATCGTCTGGGATTTGCGATTACTAATAAGCACCGGTGCCGAGTATGATCCTCTGTGATTTGCGATTACCAGTAAGCACCAGTGGCGAGTTTGGTCCTCTGGGATCTGCGATTACCAATAAGCACCAGTGGCGAGTTAGATCCTCTGGGATTTGCGTTTACCAACCAGCACCGGTAGCGAGTTTGATCCTCTGGGATTTGTGTTTACCAATAAGCACCGGTGGCGAGACTGTTCCTCTGGGATTTGTGTTTACCAATAAGCACCGGTGCCGAGTTTAATCCTTTGGGATTTGCGTTTGCCAACCAGCACCGGTAGCGAGTTTGTTCCTCTGGGATTTGCGATTACCAATAAGTACCAGTGTCGAGTTTGATCCTCTGGGATTTGCGATTACTAACAATTAACGGTGGCAAGTTTGACCCTCTGGCATTTACCATTACCATTTTACCAATGAAACGAATAAGGGATTGTTGCGGACTTCCACATCGTCAGTACAATTCGCAACTTTTCCACAACTGTTGAATCACATATTACGTCACCCAACAACTAACAACTTATTAGTAAGCTTAGCATTCGTTTCCTAGCTTTCCTTTTTTGTTCCTCAGCAAGAAATACCAGGCTTCACGTGGTTCCTTCTCTGCCTGTAATGTGATTCTTTATCTCATTTTCGAGCCACCCATCTTCACAAAGAAGCAGATGGCAATTTTTCCAATTACTTCGAGGAATGCAGGTTTCTTCTTGATCAGCCTTTGACATTCGTTTCATTTTCTGCAGTACCTAATCAGCTCTTCCGGAGATACCATTTGAGAGCGTTTCAGCGGAAGCGAGGTGTTCTTGTTGTGTAAGGAGCAATATCATCTCATCTCGAACACTGCCACTTTTAGACTACGATGAAGTATCTAACCAGCTGAAAGTCATCTCAAAAGCGATCAGCAGTAAAAAAAAAAAACACTGTGTCAACAGTTGATTGTGTAGGTATTTTGAGGAGCAGATTATTTCCAATCAGACGGATAATTTGGAACTACACCGAAAAGAGACCTGAGATCCGCTGCCTCGGGATTTTTACTTTACAGTTTCCTTCTAAGCCGATTGTAGCATCCATGTTGATGGGTGCCAAAGTAAGGAAGGTGTATAAGCAGAGGAAAAAATAGTAGGAAAAAACAGTTGAGTTAAGACGTTTCGGTCCATTAAATTATATACGTCTTAGCTCAACACCACGACTGGACCTCGTCAATATGACGGACTGGACCTCATCAGTTCTAAGTTCCTCAAATTTCAATTTAAAAAAACCTACGATGCCTTCTATCAATACGGGCCGGCATTTTTACATATACAGCCGCAATGAAGAGCAGGATCAAAGGGAGCAACATCTGCGAAATGAGCCTTGGCCATTTCCGCCAATAACAGATTAAACGCTTTTTAAGCAATGCACAGATTTGCTGTTTCCACAACAGAAATCCAATTCGAGCGGCTGAAAACTGAGACGTTACGTATACAAAACAGAATGGAGAGAAGTTTCTGAAAAGATTAACTCCCCCTTGGATGGCAGACCTGCACTGCGCTGCTATGAACATCATCGATAGACCGAAAAAAACTGGCAATACTGAAATCTTACAAAATTTAAAACGTATTGGGAAGAAACGAACATGTGCTGCCACAGATCCTCTCAGCCAGCTTCTGCGATCTATCAGTTCCATCAACGCTATTCGTTCCGGATTCTGCCTCCTCTCCAATTCTGAAGCACTAAGCATAAGTCGGAAAAAATCAACCTGCGCTGAATGCTGCGGGCGGGACGGTCGCCCAATGTACTTTCATCTCATTACTGGTTAACCAATTCCTAACTAGTGCAAGGAAAATTTTAGCTTTCTAGTCTTCCTGATTCTAGTGTTAGACCGAAACGTCTTATCCCTCTCGTACTTATTCATCCTGTACCAGCAATATTTCTACATCTTGCATTACATAGTTCGTTCTATTCTTGCCTTTTTTTTCAAGTTCTTCAAATTACTTTCATGCTACAATCATGCGATAATCAGCTTAGCAATTTTCCTGCCAAAACTTTCATATGTCCGTACACCAGCACGCAGATGTGTGTTAAAGTTGATAACAAGTTCTTGCGGCCGCAGTAGGCCAGGAGTCGCATTGGCAAAATTCCAGAACCCAAGCCCACTTTGCTGTCGAGTTGAAATACCCAGGCAGACACATGCAAACGCACACAAGCATATACATTTACATTATGGGCCGTCGCAATATGCATTTTTGCTAAAAGCGCTATAGGGCTGCATCGCAAAAGCGCATAAAAAGTAAGTAACTAAGCCTTTCACGATTCGTTCATTCATTTCGATGATAAAAAAATTTGGTAGTTACGAATATCAGGATGTCCAAACCGCTAATAAACTGCTTCCGAGCAAAGCTCGGAAAAGGATATCATCGACAATTTTGCCGGTGAGTTTGCTATTGCCGGCACCTGCTACCACTCAAGTCACATTTGAGTGCCATCGCTTGCCGCAGAGATGAATACAAGGATTTTGGCTTTAAGTAGTCAGAACCCCTCTGCTCCCGCC